AGTGGGAGACTTTAAGAAACTTAAGTAAATAGCTGATAGAACATGCAACCAAAAAACTAAGAATGATATAAAAAATCTGAACACAACTAACACACTGGGATTATTTGATAAATATGGAACACTGCACCCCAAAATGACATTCTTTGCAGGTGTATATAAAATACTAACCAAAATTAACCATATGTTAGGCCATTAAGCATGTCACAATAAATTTCAAATGACTAAGATTACATAGAATGTGTTCTCTGATCACAGTGGAATCAAGAAAAAAGTTAGTAACAAAAAGATGATTAGAAAATTTAACTACCTAGAAATTAAAAAATAGATTTATAAATAATCCATGTATCAAAGAAGAAATCAAACTGAAAATTAAAATGTTTTGAACTGAATGATGATAAAGACATGACATATCAAAATTTGTGGCATGCAGTTAAAGCACTACTTAGAAGGAGGATAATTTATACTTCTAAATGGAGAAAAATGAAGAGTCATGATATCAGTGATTTAAATTTCCATCTCAGGGTGCCTGGGTGGCTCAGTCAGTTAAGTGGCTGCCTTGGCTCAGGTCATGAACCCAGGGTTCTGGGATTGAGCCCCACATTGGGCTCCCTGCTCAGCAGGAGCCTGCTTCTCCCTCTGCCTGCCACTCCCCCTGCTCTCTCTCTTTCTCTCTGACAAAAAAATAAATAAAATCTTTAAAAAAAAATTTCCTTCTCAAGAAATGAGTAAAGAGGAGTAAAGAGTCCATCAAATCAAACTTAAGAAGCATATATAGAAATAATAAAAAAGACAAATCAATGAACAATTTAAAAAACCCACACACCTATGATAGAGAAAATCAGCGAAACCAGAAGTTAGTTCCCTGAAAAGATCTACAAAATTGATAAACTCCTAGCAAAATTAACCAGGAAATAAAAATAAATGGTTAATATCAGCATTAAAATGGAGAACATTACTACAGATCCTAGGGTCATCAAATGATAGAAAGAGGGTACTGTGATAAAATTTAACCCAACACATTTGGTAATTTGAATAAAATGTACAAATTCCTCAAATAAATTACTTATTACAACTGACAAAAGAATTAAAGAAACTTTGCATAGTGTAAGTTAGGATCTATTTAAAAAGTAAAATTTGTTATTAAAATTATAGACAACTCAGAAACATAAATGCAAAAACTTTTAAATAAAATGCTAGAAAATTGAAACCAGTGATATATAAAAAGAATAATATAATACAGCCAATAGATTTTATTCTAGTTTTGGAAGGTTGAGTTAACATTAGGAAAATCAAGTAATGTAATTCACTACATTAATAGAAAAAAGGCAGAAAAAAGATCACCTCAATAGAATAAAAGAAATTGACAAAATGCAACATCTATTCATGATGAAAATTCATAGCAAAGTAAAAATAAAAGGGAACTTCTTTAATTTGATATGTAAATCACATGATATATTGTATTAAATGGTGAAATGCTAAAAATTTTTTTCCCTTGAGATCAGGAATGTCCATGGTATTCAATTTAGATAAAATGCAAAACAAGCACAGTTAGCTTAGAATACAGGATAGTGACCATCCTCTGCAAAAAGGGAGCAACAGGGGGACTTCTGGGGTGCTGGTAATATGTGGTTCTTGATCTGGTTATACAGTTATACTCACTTTTTAAAAGTTTATTGATCTGAAAAAAAGTTTATGATCTTGTCACAATATGTGTAATTTTCTGTATGTTTATTACATGTTAACAAAAATTAAAAATGTTCAGACAGAAATTTAAAAATCCAACTTCTATTTCAAATAGCTGGCACTCTCTCAGGAAATAATTGATTGGATTCTTCAATGCTCAGGTTGTTGTTTGCTATCATGTTGACCCAGCCTCAGCAAGGGCTGAATGATGGACATTTTGGGGCCCATTTAGAGAATTTGAGTTCCCCAGACAATGGGAAACCATCCAGGCCTTTCATCAGTTTTCTTATAGCTAAGTGAGCTTTTCCAGCACCCTTTTCAGTTCTCAGATAATGCAGTTCTATTTCAGGAAACTTTCCTAGGGTGTGTAGATAGCTAGTGATTCTCCAAAGGAAAGTCCTGGTGAGCTATCATAGATGTCCCTCACTGCCCTGCCTCTGATGGGGTGGGAGGCAAGGTGAAAAGGCAAACCCTCTTAAAAGTCAAATTGTACTTTGGGCAGTGGCAGGAGCAGAAGTTAACAATAGCCTGCCAGGTCCTCTGGTCAAGATACATATTCCTAGGAACCTCCACACCAAGAACAGTAGCTATTGGCCAGAAATGACAACTCTTGAAGCTATTATGCAAAGAATGTTCTCCAAATGAGTTGCACATCTTCTCTCTAACCCTAGGCACAAGAGTTCCTCTCCAAATTTCATCATATTTTCTCATTTGTTCAGGAGTTCCTATAGGCTTGCTAATGGCCAATGAGTCAGGTGGAGTGGTGGCATATTTGCAATAGGTGTTGGTTGACTCCTTATTTTCTTCAGATGGAAATCAAATCAGCCAGTTTTAGCAAAAGAAGTTATCTGTATTTTTACCCTTTTCCTAGCAGGCAATGATTTTGATAAGCTAACTTCTCATTCTTCCAAGAAATTCTCTTGGACTTGTTCCAGTTCATAGTCATCTCTTCCTTCTCTAAACTCTGAAGGCACACAGGAATGGTACTCAGCTTATAAACTGGCTTCTTTTACACACACACACACACACACACACATACACACACACACAGGGTAAATCTACAGTTTAGAGCCCTGCATTTTGTACAGATGTAACATTTGTGTGGTACTTAGTTTCTCAAGATGGTCCACGAAGCTTGCTCAATGTAGGTGCATCCAAAAGTTTTATATGTGTAATATGATGAAAACCTTTGTCTTTTTAGAGCAACATTTAGCAGCAGACACAAGCCTTCAAGTTCTATCTTGACCTAATTCTATCTGTCCTTGGAGATGGAGTATGGTCTCCTCCCTGACCAGCTCCAAATTACTTATTGTGGCCTACAAACCCAAATCAGGCTCCTTACTAGTTTTTCAACATTCTTGCTCATTCCAGTCTTTCCTCTTTGATTATTCTTCAGCCACACTGGCCTTTTTTTCTTTTCACAACTATGCCAAGGACACTCCTGTCTCAACCCTTTTTACTTGCTCTTCTATCTGCCTGGAATGTCATTCCAGGTGTCAGCTTAATCATCATCTCCTAAGGAAGACCTTGCCTGAGCACTCAATCAATCTACACATCATTCTTTAACCTTTCTATAGTTTTATTTATTTATTCTCTTGCTTATGTTGTATCTACCATCACTTTAATGCAAGCTCTATGAATGAATTGAATCTTGTCTGTTTTATACACTCTATGTCCCAAGCACCTAGCATAGTACCTGACACACAATAGGCAGTTGTGTCAGTCTGAGTCCTCTAAGGACAGAAGCCAAGAAAGGATTAGGCATACAAGAAGCTTATGAGTGGAAATACCTAAGAAGGATAAAGGGGAGGGAGCAAGAGTAGGCTGGTGACACAGGTCTGACACCTGTGAATGGAGAAAGGGAAGGAAGGAAGATTGGGTAGGAAAAGTCTCAGACCACAGGGCAGTTCTGAGAAAGTCCTCTCCAGGGGGACAGCGGGGACCCATATAAAGATTGCCTCTTAGAGAAGTCCCAGGTTGGGCAGGAGTGGCCTGGTTCCAAAACCCCCATCATGCTCAGACAGTGTCTAAAAGTGACCTTGGGGAAGCTGGACCCACAGTGGATCCAAAGGAAGAGCATCTGGGGCTGTTGTCTGTGAGGCTTCCCATGAAGATTCACTTGAAGAGAGATCTGGATGGTAAACTTTTCTGGCCTCCCCAACCAGTTCATAGATACTTGTTGAAAAAAGGAATGAGTTGAGGGGCACCTGGGTGGCTCAGTCGTTGAGCGTCTGCCTTCGGCTCAGGTCATGATCCCAGGGTCCTGGGATGGAGCCCTGCATCGGGCTCCCCGCTCCGCGGGAAGCCTGCTTCTTCCTCTCCCGCTCCCCCTGCTTGTGTTCCCTCTCTCGCTGTCTCTCTCTCTGTCAAATAGGTAAAATCTTAAAAAAAAAAAAAAAAAGGAATGAGTTGATAAATGCATGGATAAGTTTCTGAACTCCATGCTAGAGACACCTTCATGGTCTAACTGGACAAATTGTTGGGACTCTTCAGTTGGTCTCATGCAGGGCTGATCTTCCTGGCCATCACTTCAATGGATAGCCACACATTAGGAGTATGTTTAGGTCAGGGGTCACTTCCGTGCTTGATATCTCACAATTAGCACCTTAACTGATCCATAAATTAGCTTTATTATTGTTATTATTATTGTTTTCTCTAACCAGATGATAATCCAGGAAATGTTAATCTGTCCCTGTTTTCCCCCACAGTTCTTAGCATAAGTGCTACCCGCACTGTTATTCTAAAGTAAAGATCCCAACCTCCAAAGCCTACTGGAGCCAGTCATGTTATAGAGACAAGTGAAGTAGGTCTGGTAGGGAGTGGTAGGAATTATGGTGAATTGGAGTGGGCTTGCCCCACCTAGATGGGGCGACTGCTATAAAGTCGTAGCCCATTATTGTCAGGTGGGAATGCAGACTTTGTGCTACCAAATCAAGTGATGCCAGAAATCTGGATTTTTATGTGAAATCTCCTGATTTTTAAATTTTGGGAACTAATTAAATATTTCTTAAACACTCTGCAGGCCAACACTAGCCTGGCCAAGCAAAACATGCCTGTGGGATGATTTGGCGACCAGTTTGTAGTCTCCATTCTAGACCTTGGTTGACAGACAACATTCTAGATCTTTAAAACTCATAGTTTTGTTAAAAGTTTTGTGGCAGTTATTCTTGGAAGTCTTCTCAGAACCAGCCAATGACTAGCCATTTATGTCATTCCCCAGTATCCTGGATCCAGAAAGCATAGAAGAGAATAGGCCATATATCTATGAGTCACAAAGGTCATGGGACTCATGAGACTGGGGTAAAGTTCTCCATGAAATTCAAAGTGACAGACATCTCTTTGCCAGTATGTGAGCCAATCTGCCAGTGAGAACAAGGCTAAAGATAAACAGATGGATCTTACTCCCTGCCTGAGGGAACACAAAGTGGGCTCAGAGGGGATGGAGTAAATTCTAAGGTAAGGCTCACTTTCAACAAATGTTATAACCTAGAGCTAGAAAACCCACTTTTTTCTTTGGTGGTAAGTTACAGGATTAGAAATCCCAAGGGGTAAAGGTAAGAACAATAATGATAAACTCATTAGTTATTCAAAAGTATAGGAAATTTAAAACAGTAATACTAAGTTTTTTTTTTTTTTAATTTTATTATGTTATGTTAGTCAGCATACAGTACATCATTAGTTTTTGATGTGGTGATCCACGATCCATTGTTTTCATATAACACCCAGTGCTCCATGCAGTACATGCCCTCGTTAATACCCATCACCGGGCTAACCAATCCCCCCTCCCCCTCCCCTCTAGAACCCTGTTTGTTTCTCAGAGTCCATAGTCTCTCATGGTTCATCTCTCCCTCCGATTCTACCCCCCCATTTTTCCCTTCCTTCTCCTAATGTCCTCCATGCTATTCCTTATGTTCCACAAATAAGTGAAACCATATGATAATTGACTTTCTCTGCTTGACTTATTTCACTTAGCATAATCTCCTCCAGTCACATCCATGTTGATGCAAAAGTTGGGTATTCATCCTTTCTGATGGCTGAGTAATATTCCATTGTATATATGGACCACATCTCCTTTATCCATTCATCTTTTGAAGGGCATCTCAGCTCTTTCCACAGTTTGGCTATTACGGACATTGCTGCTATGAACATTGGGGTGCATATGGCCCTTCTTTTCACTACATCTGTGTCTTTGCGGTAGATACCCACTAGTGCAATTGCTGGGTCATAGGGTAGCTCTATTTTTAAATTTTTGAGGAACTTCCACACTGTTTTCCAAAGTGGCTGTACCAACTTGCATTCCCACCAACAGTGTAAGAGGGTTCCCCTTTCTCCACGACCTCTCCAACATTTGTTGTTTCTTTCCCTGTCCATTTTTGCCATTCTAACTGGTGTAAGGTGGTATCTCAAGGTGGTTTTGATTTAAATTTCCCTGATGGCTAATGATGATGAACATTTTTTCATGTGTCTGTTAGCCATTTGTATGTCTTCTTCAGAGAAGTGTCTTTTCATATCTGCTGCCCACTTTTTGACTTGATTATTTGGTTTTTGGGTGTTGAGTTTGAGAGGTTCTTTATAGACCTTGGATACCAGCCCTTTATCTGTAGTGTCATTTCCAAATATCTTCTCCCATTCTGTGGGTTGCCTCTTTGTTTTGTTGACTGTTTCCTTTGCTGTGCAGAAGCTTTTTATCTTGATGAAGTCCCAAATGTTCATTTTTGCTTTTGTTTCACTAGTTTTTGGAGATGTATCTTGAAAGAAGTTGCTGTGGCCGATGTCAAAGAGGTTACTGCCTATGTTCTCCTCTAGGATTTTGATGGATTCCTGTCTCACATTGAGGTCTTTCATCCACTTTGAGTTTATCTTTGTGAATGGTGTTAGAGAATGGTCCAGTTTCATTCTTCTGCATGTGGCTGTCCAATTTTCCCAGCACCATTTATTGAAGAGACTGTCTTTTTTCCATTGTATGTTTTTTCCTGCTTTGTCAAAGATTATTTGACCATAGAGTTGAGGGTCCATATCTGGGTTCTCTATTCTGTTCCATTGCTCTATATGTCTGTTTTTGTGCCAGTACCATGCTGTCTTGGTGATCACAGCTTTGTAATATAGCTTGAAATCAGGCAACGTGATGCCCTCAGCTTTGTTTTTCTTTTTCAACATTTCCTTGGCGATTCGGGGTCTTTTCTGATTCCATACAAATTTTAGGATTGTTTGTTCCAGCACTTGGAAAAATGTCATTGGAATTTTGATCGGGATGGTGTTGAAGGTATAGATTGCTCTGGGTAGCATAGACATTTTAACAATGTTTATTCTTCCGATCCATGAGCATGGAACATTTTTCCATCTTTTTGTGTCTTCTTCAATTTCTTTCATGAGTGTTCTATAGCTCCTAGAGTATAGATCCTTTACCTCTTTGGTTAGGTTTATTCCAAGATATCTTATGGTTTTGGGTGCTGTTGTAAATGGAATCATTTCTCTAATTTCTCTTTCTACAGTTGCGTTTAGTGTATAAGAAAGCAACTGATTTCTGTGCATTGATTTTGTATCCTGCCACATTACTGAATTGCTGTATGAGTTCTAGTAATTTGGGGGTGGAGTCTTTTGGGTTTTCCACATAAAGTATCATGTCGTCTGCGAAAAGAGAGAGTTTGACTTCTTCTTTGCCAATTTGAATACCTTTTATTTCTTTTTGTTGTCTGATTGCTATTGCTAGGACTTCTAGTACTATGTTGAACAATAGTGGTGAGAGTGGGCATCCTTGACATGTTCCTGATCTTAAGGTAAAGGCTCTCAGCTTTTCCCCATTGAGGATGATATTCACTGTGGGTTTTTCATAGATGGATTTTATGAACTTGAGGAATGCTCCCTCTATCCCTATACTCTGAAGAGTTTTAATCAGGAAAGGATGTTGTATTCTGTCAAATGCTTTTTCTGCATCAATTGAGAGGACCATATGGTTCTTCTCCCTCCTCTTATTAATGTGTTCTATCACATTGATTGATTTGCAAATGTTGAACCACCCTTGCATCCTAGGGATAAATCCCACTTGGTCGTGGTGGATGATCCTTTTAATGTATTGTTGGATCCTATTAGCTGGGATTTTGTTGAGGATTTTGGAATCCATATTCATCAGGGATATCGGTCTGAAATTCTCCTTTTTGATGAGGTCTTTGCCTGGTTTGGGGATTAAGGTAATGCTGGCCTCATAGAATGAGTTTGGAAGTTTTCCTTCTGTTTCTATTTTTTGAAACAGCTTCAGGAGAAAAGGTATTATTTCTTCTTTGACTATCTGGTAGAATTCCCCAGGGAATCCATCAGGCCCCGGACTCTTGTTTTTTGGGAGGTTTTTGATCACTGCTTCAATCTCGTTACTGGTTATTGGCCTATTCAGGTTGTCAATTTCTTCCTGTTTCAGTCTTGGCAGCTTATCGGTTTCCAGGAAGGCCTCCATTTCATCCAGATTGCTCAGTTTATTGGCATATGTTGATAATAATTTCTAAAAACTGTTTCTATTTCCTTGGTGTTAGTCATGATCTCTCCCCTTTCATTCATTATTTTATTAATTTGGTTCCTTTCTTTTTTCTTTTGGATAAGTCTGGCCAGTGGTTTATCGATTTTATTAATTCTTTCAAAGAACCAACTTCTGGTTTCGTTGATCTGATCTACTGTGTTTCTGGTTTCTAATTCATTGATCTCTGCTCTAATCTTAATTATTTCTCTTCTAATGAGTGACTTAGGTATCGTTTGTTGCTTTTTCTCTAGTTCTTTAAGGTGTAGAGTTACTGGTGAATTTGGGATTTTTCTATTTTTTTGAATGAGGCTTGGATGGCTATGTATTTCCCCCTTAGGACCGCCTTTGCAGTATCCCATAGGTTTTGGACCGATGTGTTTTCGTTCTCATTGATTTCCATGAATTGTTTAAGTTCTTCTTTGATTTCCTGGTTGACCCAAACATTCTTGAGCAGAGTGGTCTTTAGCTTCCAAGTGTTTGAATTTTTGCCAAATTTTTTTCTTGTGATTGAGTTCCAGTTTTAAAGCATTGTGGTCAGAGAATATGCAGGGAATAATCTCAATCTTTGGGTATCATTGAGACCTGATTTGTGACCCAGTATGTGGTCTCTTCTGGAGAAAGTTCCATGTGCGCTTGAGAAGAATGAATAGTCTGTTGTTTTAGGGTGGAATGTTCTGTAAATATCTATGAGGTCTATCTGGTCCAGTGTATCATTCAAAGCTCTTGTTTCCTTGTTGATTTTCTGCTTAGATGATCTGTCCATTGCTGAGAGTGGAGTATTGAGGTCTCCCACAATTAACGTATTGTTATCAATATGACTCTTTATTTTGGTTAACAGTTGGCTTATGTAGATGGCTGCTCCCATGTTGGGGGCATAGATATTTACAATGGTTAGATCTTCTTGTTGGATAGACCCTTTAAGAATGATATAGTGTCCTTCTGTGTCTCTAATTACAGACTTTAGTTTAAAATCTAATTTGTCTGATATAAGAATTGTTACCCCAGCTTTCTTTTGAGGTCTGCTGGCATGGAAGATGGATCTCCATCCCTTCACTTTCAGTCTGGATGTATCTTTAGGTTCAAAATGAGTCTCTTGTAGGCAGTATATGGATGGTTCCTGTCTTTTTATCCCATCTGCAACCCTGTGCCATTTTATGGGAGCATTTAGGCCATTCACATTGAGAGTGATTATTGAAAGATATGAATTAGGGGCACCTGGGTGGCTCAGTTGTTAAGCGTCTGCCTTCAGCTCAGGTCATGTCCCCAGAGTCCTGGGATCGAGCCCCACATCAGGCTCCCTGCTCAGCGGGAGGCCTGCTTCTCCCTCTCCCACTCCCCCTGCTTGTGTTCCCTCTCTCACTGTGTCTCTCTCTGTCAAATAAATAAAATCTTTAAAAAAAAAAGAAAGATATGAATTAATTGTCATCATGTTGCCTGTGAAGATGTTGTTTTTATAGATTGTCCCTGTAAATTTCTGTTGTAGATCACTCTTGGGGTCTTTCTCCTTTTATAGAACCCCCTCCCCCTTAATATTTCTTGCAGGGCTGGCTTAGTGGTCACATATTCTTTCAGTTTCTGCCGGTCATGGAAGCTCTGCATCTCTCCATCCATTCTAAATGACAGCCTTGCCGGATAAAGTATTCTTAGCTGCATGTTCTTCTCATTTAGTACCCTGAATATGTCTTGCCAGGCCTTTCTGGCTTGCCAGGTCTCTGTGGATAGGTCTGACGTTATTCTGATGTTCCTCCCTCTGTACGTAAGGAATCTCTTCCCCCTAACTGCCCTTACGATGGTTTCCTTGGTTCTAAGATTTGCAAGTTTTACTATTACATGTGGGGTTGTTGGCCTGTTTTCCTTGATCTTGGGAGGGGTCCTCTCTGCCTCTAGGACATGAATGTTTGTTTCATTCCCCAGATTAGGGAAGTTCTCAGCTACGATTTGCTCAAAT